TATATATATATATATATATATATATATATATATATATATATATATATATATATATATATATATATATATACATATACAATAATAAATCGTTGTCCGTTGTACAAAAAGAGTGCTCAATAACAAATTTAATTGATAGAGCAAAATATACTAATTATAATCTTAAAATTTTATTAATCGCTTAATAAAATTAAGCGATTAATAAAATAATTAAGCGATTAATAAAATTTTAAGATTATAATTAGTATATATATATATATATATATATATATATATATATATATATATATATATATATATATATATATATATATATATATATATATATATATATATATAAGAGCCCTGTCGGCACCAGGGGCCGGTTGTATAAAAAAGTGATTAAAGTTAACTATAGTTAGTGGAAACATCATCCAATAAGAAGCGCGTATTTGAGAGTTAATCACTATTTAACTACAAAATAATGATTAAAAAAGTGATTAAGAGTTTTATACAACCGGCCCCAGGGCGCGCAATAACGGCCGGTCAACGGATCAAAATAAAGTAACATGTTGTCGAGTATTTGCGGGAAAAGAAGTAAAGAACTTCAATGTACGCATGGCCATTCTTTTGGCTTAAGAGTTAAGGCCGCTTTTAGCGCAGTGCAAGCTGTTTTATGTGAAGGAGGTTTTAATTACTGATTACAGTAAGGATTTTTGTAATGCTATACTGGGAAAATAGTCACATTTTTAGGGGTATACTTTACTAGGCTTTGCTTTAAGCGGAATAATTTGACCAGCCAGAAATTCGGTATGTCCGAGGTAAAATTGAGTTGGCCGGTCACTTTGCCCGGCGAACCTCCAGCCGTTATTTCACGCCCTGGTCGGCACGATTATTTTTTTACTGAATCTCAGTATCGTATATCTTGAGGTTTGGGTATAGGCAGCGTTGAAAAATATCCACGAGCTTTGTTGAACAATCTATATAAAATAGCTGAAAAATATCTCGGCGTTTCGAGCGAGGCTCTTTGTCTGAAAGTTTAGTATAGATGGCTCTGAAAGTTTAGCGATGGCTCTTTGTCTGAATCTAAGTATACAGTATATAGTTTCAAAACTGAATGGAAAAGTGCTTGTGATTGTTTGCTTTGCCTTTGATTATAATGTAATGACTTTTAAATTAGCAAGAAAATGACTTTTTCTGAATCGTATATTGTTGCGGTATTGTTTCATTATGCAGATATTTTCATATGTCGATATGTAACTCCAATCATACCAGCTTTTCAACAAGAAAACCTTGTTCACCTCTACGAATAAGAAAGTGGGGTGGTCAGTTATAGCGACATAATTCATGGAAAGAAAGTAAAAACCTATAGGGAACGTGAACTCTTGGCAGTCATACATGTTTCAGTCGGCGGTCACAGAGCAGCAGGTTGTGCATGGTTACTTACAGCAGTATATTAAACTATATCCCTCGATTCTTTTATTCGTCACCAAATTCAAGACGATTTCATGAAAGAATTTTACCTGATTGACTCACAGGTTGACCAGCGTCTGCTGTACGATAGAGCTTAGTGAAATTCACGTATTCTTCATCTCATATTTTTCTTCAGACGGCGTATGCTGATCGTATAAGACGTCCTCCTCCACCTGGTATGCAGCGAACAACAGCTGTCAATACGGCAAGTTCTACTGCCCAACGAAGTCAAGAGCAAAGACGATCTGAAAGATTGAGTTAGTATTCTTATATCGTTTATAACATAACATTGCGCTAAACTAAAGAAACTCTTGGTTGCATCATCACGCACGAAAATCTTTGTCATGACCGCAACCCTAACACTAAACCCTATATATGGGCGAAACATGAGGATATAACCAAATACCTTCGTCAACAACCTTGCTCCCGGGCTCTCTTTACTCCACGCTCCTGGGTACGAGGTTGCTTCGTCATGAAGTTCTATATACTAGCCAGTGAACTCTATAAAAAACTGGATAACTCAGGCTGTGTTTTTGAAGCCAAAGATGGCGGAAATTGAAGCCCGTCTAGCTTGTATATAGGTATACCTTACGCGGAAATTCACTGAACTCAGTAAAAGCCAAGTGCTGTAATTTGACGAGTGAAAAACATGCAAGTTTAGAAAAAGAGACCGAGGAAAACACCAGGAAACTTTTGTTTTCCTGGACTTGAAGGAATTTGAACTAAACACAGAATAATATATGGACTGCATGCAGTTGTATCATACTTACCTTTTCATTTAGTTTTATAATTTATCAATATATCCATCATAACCGTTCATCCCGATTCAATTATGCCAAATATGTAGAAGTAATATTTTTTTCCCCTTCATTACTTGTATAAAGTATACGTTTGCATGTTATAGTATTTTTACATATTTCAGCATATAGTCAACAGATTGTGGAGTTTCTACGACAACCAAATATAGATGAAGTTCTTGCTGCAAAAAGTCCTTCATATGCGAATAATGTTGCATTAAAGTATGGTATTTTGCTTGACTTCTATAATTTAAAATGAAATTTAATGGTTATGGTTGTAGTCATATGGTGATTGTCGTATGCTTCTGGTTAATAGAGACCTTACGATTTTAGGACGGCGACGGCCAAAACAAACTCCTTCAAATAAATAAATGGTAGTAAAGATAGTTCATGGTATATTATCAATCGTATGAATTTAATACAGTTTTAGAAGTTGAAGACATGGGTTTTATGATTGGAAAGAATTCTGCTAAACCCAGTTTGAAGTTGCACTTGTTGCGGCTTGGAATGCAGCGGTTGTATCAAGACGTGAAAATCTGTGATTTGACGTTGTAAACAGAGCGAGGACAATGTCTAAATTATTCATATATTGTAATTACTCAATTATTTTCAATGATCTATTGTATTGGTAGCCGTTGCCGTCGCGTTGCCTTCCTAAAATCGTAAGGTCTCTAATGTTGTCCATGGTTATCTTGCCATGCAGCCTAGTCCCAGGCTCTCTCTCTCTATTCGCTGCTTTGATGTATTTAAATAAGTCTTAAAAGTTTTATGCCTGGGTGTGCTGTGCGGAACGCTTCAACGAGAGAGCCTAGCAAATTTCGGTAAAATGGTCCCTGATTTCAAAAAAGTGGTCCCTGGCCTGGTTACCAAGCATACCTCATTTGTAAATGGAAAATGTTATGGAAATTTCCTTTGCATTTATAATTAAGTCATTAGTTTTGCTCTAATGCTCTCGGAACAA